GGGGGGGGTGTCATGGTGCATGTTTGTAATCCCAGTACTCAGGAGGCTGAGGCAGGAGAATCGCCATAAGTTCAAGGCCAGCCTGGACTACATAGTCAATACAAGGCCAGCCTGAACTACTTAGCAAGACCCTGTCTCAAAAAACAAAACAAAAATTTAGAATCTATAAGAGCATCACTGGATTTAGAGATGGTGGCGGAAGGGAGGAGAAGGGAAGTAAAAAAAAGAATTAAGATGTGTTGTTACTCAGGAGGCTGAGGCAGGAGGATCACCATGAGTTTGATGCCAGCCTAAACTACATAGTGAGACTGTCTCAAAAAACCAAAAAAAGTGCTGGGGATTTAGCTCAGTGGTTTCGCCGCCTGCTGGGCAAGCACAAGGACCTGAGTTCAATCCCCGGTACTAAAAAAATAAAAAATAAAAACCAAAAACAAACAAAAAAGATGGGTCATGGACACGTACCAACTTACCATGATGAATGCAATCATTATGCACTACAAACACATACTAATAAAAATAAAAGTAATTTTTAAAAAAGGACCATCAACCACTTACATCTTCCTTTTCTTCAGCATCCACCAGGGCAGTATATTTATCCTCTGGCACAGGAATTTTCAGAGCATTAAACTACAAATATGGACAGTGAGTTGTTATCAGTACACCCAAGAGTTTAATGAAAGGGTTCGAAGCTGTTATTCTTTATAGGTCATATTAAAACACACTCTCCATCCCAAGAGGAAACTGCACTACTAAGGTTTCCTGTACCTCCAGTGTTATATAGTGGAAAGAATACTTTACTGGGAAGAGAAGCAGCCAGGTATGGTGGCACACACTTGTAATCCCAGGAGTCAGGAGGCTGAGGCAGGAGGAGTGCCATGAGTTTGAAGCCAGCCTGAACTACATAGTGAGACCTTGTCTCAAAACAGAGAAGCAAAAGGGTTTTATCAGCCCTTTCACTAACTCAGGACCTTGGATAATTCTTTATTACAATGAGCTTCAGTTTCTCACCTGAAAAAAACAAAAACAAAAGAACCAGCTGGACTCAGCACCTCACATTTTAAAGAATTCTGAAGAAATTCTGATTTTCTTCATTAACACTGTGTGGCACAAAGTAGGCCCTCCATAAGCATCTTCCAATGAACAGGCAAATTAACCTTTGATATTGAGACTTAATGTGTATCAAAGGCGGATGGGTAGATAAGAAATTACAACTGTAAGGGACAGGAAAAAAAGAGTAGAGAGAGGAAAACAGTAAAAGAGTAGAAAAGCTGATAGTCTGTACCAAAGAGAGACAGGTGGGAGGCTAACAGGGAACTCAGGAAGAGCGGGTCAGGAACTTCTGACAGTCCTCTGGCTCCCAGGAGAACGCCATATAGTATTGTTGCATGACAGCTGAATTTTCTGCACCTCGTCACTATTTAAATCTACCAATGCAAGGCCTTTGGCCACAGCTTTCCTAAACTTCCTTTGGGATCTAAGTGTTAAGGTTAACAACATCTTTCTTCCCCGGCTGTCACCTTGAATATATAATTATCCACCTTCTTGCTCTCCACCCACAAGACATTACAAGACTAATGCTTTAGCTATTTTAAGTCTCACCTTCTTTTCAAAGTCATCCACCAAGCCTGCCTTGGCCACATTGGCCTTGTAGAAAGCCCAGTCGATCTCTGGTGGTTTCTCAGACAAAGCAGCCAACCTGCTCACAGAGAAAAGCAAAAGTTAGGACTGTTCCATGAACAAGAGGAAATTCACACAGAAATTTCCCTATTCTTTATTTCTATGGCCTGGAGTGCCTTCGTGCTTTTCTTTTGTAGTGTCATCATGAAAATCAAAAAAACTAAAAAACCAAACTTTTGGGGCTGGGGATTTAGGTCAGTGGTTCTGGAGCCTGCCTTGCAAGTGCAAGGTCCCGAGTTCAATCTCTGGTACCAAAAAAAAAAAAAAAACACCAAACTTTTATTTGGAAAATGTGTAGGTTTCTTTATTTTTGGTCAGAAGATTATCAGAAATGCCTGTGTAATTCTAAAATATTGTTCTAGATTCAGTGGCAAGTCTAGGGATCCCTCAGAAACATACTGACCTGGAGCTGAGGGTCTCATTCCAGGACTTCAGAGAGTTAGCAATAGCCCTTTGGTTTGGGGGTATGATCTCCCCAAAAGCTACCCAGTCAATGGCTTTTAGAGCAAGTTTGCGCCCAGCCATCTTGGGATCCTGGAAAATAAAATAAGTCCAATAAAAACAGTGCTCTCCGAGTATCCCCTGAAGAAGGGCATTTAGCAACATACAAATCTTTAATAAAGAGATCACGCCAGCCATAGTGGTGCATGCCTATATTCCCAGCACGTGGGAAACAGAGGCAAGAGGATCGCTGAAAGTTTGAGGCCAGTATGGGCTACACAGTGAGTTCAAAAACAACCTGGGGCCGGGGATTTAGCTCAGTGGTTCTGCTGCCTGCCTCGCAAGCACAAGGTCCCGAGTTCGATCCCTGGTACCAAAAAAAAAAAAAAACCTGAACTACATGGTAAGACCCTCCCTGTCTCAAAAAAAAAAAGATCAGCACCCTTTGAGCACTTGGGAGGTCTATTTATCAACTAGAGGAATTATAATTACTGAGTCAGAAAAGGAGGATGGTTTAGCTACTCAAATTCAAGCTCTGTAACCTGTATTACAAATACAGTATATTCTTTCCTGCTAGATTGCCCTCTCTCCACACCCCAAATCCTTAAGTCCAGCTCTCTCCTTTTTCCTCTCCATGTTTGTTTGTTTTTTTAATCCTCTCCATATGTTTGTGGAAATATCCACCCAGATTGTTTTATTCACTGATTCTCCAAGTACACAGAACATGACACATAGTAAAATTTCAACAAGGTTTAAATAGAGCACACTGTGGGTGTTTCCTTATCTATAAACAGTATCAGCTCTGCTTAGCTCAGAAGGCCGCTGAATTTATCAAATGAAATTGTGCACATAACTTGTGGTATAGTTTTATACAAACTTAAGAGGCTGTCTATTCTCTCCTTAACAGATTGGTCATACACCTGAACCTTCTTACTCATGTATGATTATCTCTCACAGCACTGGCCCTGCATTTTAAGAGGCATTCAAAACATACCTTAACGAGAGAAGATTGGAAAGTGGTTGCAGCCTTTAAACCAAGACAAACTACGGGAAAAATAGTCAACTTTAAGTAAGATCAGGGTCAGATATTAGAAGACGTCAAAGTCAACTGTCTACAAGTTGTGGGTTCCAAGGGAGGACGCAACCTTCCTCAGGATCTTAAAAAGAAAGTTATCAAACACCTGTCCCTTCTTCCTTTCCTTCCCAGGGTCGATCGTTTGTCTCCGGCAGGGGAGGGGCGGGGTTAAAGCAGTTAACTTTTTTCTTTTTTTTTTTTTGTACCGGGGATCGAACTCGGGACCTTGCGCTTGCGAGGCAGGCAGCGAAACCACTGAGCTAAATCCCCGACCTAGAAGTCTTTTTTTTTTTTTTTTCCCGACCTAGAAGTCTTAAAGATCACTTTGCTTGTTGCTCAATTCCCAGAGCCTAAAACAGGTCATGCGCACAGGAAGTGCTCGATGAATATCTGTTCACCGGGTAAATGAGCCCCGCACTTGAGAAGCCCTGAACATTGCACACGCTGGAACTCTGGGACACTCTAGACAGGGGAGGACGCAGCCCTGCAACCTCCGACTCCCTCAGCAACTGTGTGTGTAACGTTCTCTGAGAACCCCAACTGCACTACCGAGATCGGTAGTGAGCGGACTGAACGAGACGGGGTTTGCGGCAGCACCTAAAACAGCAGCTGCCAGGTCACAGCCGGGCCCTGCGACCTCGAGCCCAGAAGAAGTGAGAAAGGGACTGCGAGGTAAACCGAGTCCGGCGTCCTCGGTGGGGGCGCAACAAAAGTCGGTGCAAGGTCTGCAAGACGTAGAGCAAGAGGAATTGACCCGGGCTCAGACTCCACGCTCCGAACCCCACTCACCTTCACCGACCCCGTGAAGCTCGATCCCCAGTGGCAAGTAACGGAAGTGGGTCACCGGAAGGGCCTGCCCTCAGCCAACCGCATAGCTCAGGGCTCGGGCTTTGCGTCACAGATAGGCCAATACAAACAGAGGCTACTTCCGGAAGTCCCGCCTCAGAGGGCGGGCACAGCGCCTGCGCTGTTGAGGTTCCTGCTAGTTGCGGGGGCTCCTGGCCTTCTCCCCCTCTTGTGGGCCGGCCCGGCTCTCCCTGCCGAGGAATGGGCCGGCCCGGCGGTGCGCGGGTAGCAGCAACGGCGGCGCCGGCTCAAAATGGCGGAGCTGCAGCTAGACCCGGCGATGGCGGGGTTGGGAGGGGGTGGCGGCAGTGGGCTGAGCGACGGCGGCGGCCTGGGTCGTGGGACCCTCAGCCCTCGCCCCGCTGTCCCCCTACCCCGCGGACACGGCCGCCAGCCCGCCGCCGTCGCGCAGCCACTGGAGCCAGGTCCCGGACCACCCGAGCGGGCTGGGGGCGGCGGCGCGGCCCGCTGGGTCCGGCTGAACGTGGGGGGCACCTACTTCGTGACCACCAGGCAGACCCTAGGCCGAGAGCCCAAGTCTTTCCTCTGCCGCCTCTGCTGCCAAGAGGACCCGGAGCTGGACTCGGACAAGGTGCGCCCCGCCCTCAGGCCTTTGGGTCCCCTAGTTCCTCCTAGGCTCGTCTTCCGAGTCCTGGGACGCGCTCCTCAGAGGCAGACTTCTCGGACTGGAACCACGTCGTCCCAGGCCCCCCAGGCTGGCCCAGGAAGCTTCAGAAAGCGCCCTTCCCCATTCTCCCCGTCCTCAGGCATCGCTTTGCGACCTCTGACCTAGCCCTGCGTTCTCGGGGACTTCTTGCGTACACTGTCTAATCCCTGAAAACCCACTCCACACCCCTCCCATATTCTCTGCGGCTCTCATCCCACCCTGCCTCTGAGATCTGCTTGAGTTTCCCCTGGCTCCCCTTCAACCCCCTATTGCCGTTGGGATATGTCTTCAGAACTGGATCAGAGTGAGCCAGGGAATCTTTGTAGCTTCTTCAGACTTCCTGTAAGACCCTTGTGTCGGGTTGGCTGAAGCCTGGGTCTGACAATGGCTTCCATCACTGCAAGGAATGCTTCTTGTGATGTCACTGCTTTCCTAAAATCCTGGTCCCAGACCTTGAATCTGGTAATGGTCGTTGCTTAGGTCCATATTTAAGATCAGGTCCATTTCTTGGGGGAAAAAAGTTGTATTTGGCAATCTAGGTTAACCAGTTAAGACTAAGGGAAAGTAGAAACCAAGGAATGCTATTGGGCAAGATGCATGGTTGCTAACCAGAGTTAAGAAGTGAGAAGATACCCTATTTTGAGTTTGAGCTATTTGAACTTTTTAAACTTTTTTTTTTTGCGGTACCAGGGATCAAACTCAGGACCTCACACTTGCAAGGCAGGGACAGTGCCACTGAGCTAAATCCCAGCCCCTGAACTTTTAAAACTTGTACAGGTTTCCCATAGTTCCCAACCTAAAGGCATTGACCACAGCTTATACCTAATCATATATCCCATATAGCAATCAGCTGATTACATTGCACAGATTGGGGTTACATAAACATTTGCTACTTCATCTACTAAACTCAAATTGATGGAAACCTTCCCAAACTTTAACAGGATTCCAAAATGCTTGCTTATAACATTATTTTTATATACCCTAAATCTTCCTTATGGCCATATAAGCCAGTTTCTTCTTGTTCCTTTTAGTGTAAAGAAGAGTAGGATTAAAGCTCTTCGGAGCCAAGTCCTGGCAGTACCATGCTTCCTCTGGCCACACAGCTAGGGTGTGTGAGATTATAGTTGGCAGTGACTTTGGCTTTGAGCTCAGGAGTGTTGCCAACTGAACAGAGGTTTTCTTAGAATTAGGAATGCGGTTTGGGACAGTGGAGAAGTCAGAATGTCCATTTCCAGCAAAGATTTGAATCATGAATCTTTGGATTTTTTTTTTTCCTCCCTTGTAACCAGTGTCCTACAAAAGAATCTTGGCAATTGGCCAAGCAAAGTTCAAACTAGTAAGTAAATGCCTAGAGGATGGGTGTGACTGCATCTGTGATGGCAACCTGAAATGATCCAAAGCAGAAGGTGCTTAGAGCTAGCCTTTCCAGTAGTTTTCAGTAAGCAAATGTCTAGCAAAACTTGTTCTCACTAAAATTTTTGTAGCTGATGGAATTCTAGCAAGAGGGGGCAAAACCCTCTCAATTTAAACATGTCCCTTAGCATAATGATACCCTTGTGCTTGGTTGGCAGGATGAGACAGGAGCCTATCTGATTGACAGAGACCCCACCTACTTTGGGCCTATCCTAAACTACCTCCGTCATGGGAAACTCATCATTACTAAGGAGTTGGCAGAAGAAGGTAACTGCACTGTTGGCACTGGACATTTCAAACTTCAGGTCACTTAAAGCTCTTTCATAGACTTGAGTTTTGAGATTTTCACTGGTCTGATGTTCTGGCGTAGTACAGGTTAATGAAAATCAGCAGAAAGTCTCCAGTTACCTAGTCTTGTCTGAGAGAGCCTGGTTGAAGAAAGCCCCACTGGTCTCTGTTAAGTTTTCTTAGTGAGAAGGAAAGTAGGTAGCTCATCTTTGCAAATAGCTTTAGGAGTTTTTTCTGACACAGAATTGTCACAATCCTTTTCAAACATTTATTTATATGCTGGCAGTGAATGTCTGTGGCCTGAAGCAGCACATCTCTAACATTCATTTATTTATATTTTCAGTTTTAGTTTGAACTTGCACCTGTAAAAAAATAATAAAGGCTTGACCTCATTTCTTTTTAAAACTCTGGTCTTATGCTTCCCTATAATTTTTGCTGCTGATCTAATTAATTCTCCAGCTCATTGTCAGATGTATTATTGGTTGTCTCATCTTTTCGGTTTGTAGGGCACTTGGATTTAAGTAGTCCTCTTTCAAAAAGCCTTGGCTTAGTCTCACAGGAGGCATTCAGTGAAAGATTGGGGCTCTTCCCTGAATCCAAGGCACCTTCATCTGAGTGCCTTAGCTTTGAATACGAAAGCTTGCAATGGCTGTGCTTGTTATTGTAGTGACTGCAAAGTAATTCTCTTTCAGCCATTAAAAAGAGAAATTGTGCTTGCTCTCACTGTCTTGCTCTCTTGAGGGGAGCATTTGGCCAACACTCCTTTTTTTTTTAATCCTTCTTTTAAAAACATGTTAAATTCATGTAAAAGTAATGAGAGGATATAAGCTCCATGCACCCTCCAAACAGCTTCAGCAGCTACAAGCTCATGGATAACCTTTTTTTGATGTTTAATAAAAAAACACTTTATTTTGAAATAATTCTAGACTTAGAGAAAAAGATAAAAATAGTCCAAGAAACTCCCTTTACCTAGATTTACCACTTCTTACCATTATTTTGTCATATTTACATTATCATTCATTGTCCCCCCACTTCTTCCATCTCTCCCTCTTTTTTCTTCTCTCTCATCCTTTCTTCTTCCTTTCCTCTCTCCTTCCCCTGTAGTTTCTATTTCTGAGCAGTTTGAGACTAGATTGAAGACTTCACCTCTTAATATTCTGTATGTCTTTTCTTAGAACAAGTATGTTACCCTACTATCAAAGTCAAGGAATTAAATATTGTTAGATATTTTTATCTGTAGCTTATATTCCAGTCTTGTAAGTTGGTTTTTGGGGATTTTTTTGTTTTTTGTTTTTTTGAGATAGGGTGTCACTATGTAGTCCAAGCTGGCCTTGAACTCACAGCAATCCTCCTCCCTCAACCTCCCGAGTGCTGGGATTGCAGGCGTTCACCACCACGCCTGGCTCAGTTCTAATAATGGCCATTTTAGCAAAATTTTTTCCTGGTACAGGACCACGCATGCCTTAGTTGTCGTAAGGCCTCTGATTTTTTAACATGAGACTCTTTCAGTGATTGCCTTCCTTGTTCTTCAAGTAATAAACATTCTGTTAAATTTGATCCATACAAATTTACACACATATACCTATCTTCCAGTCCTTTTTAGGGGAAAGTAGGTAAAAATTAGCAAGCACAGGAGGTGTCCTGTAGTTCAGAACTAGGTGACATATGGGGAAAGTGTCCTGCCACTAACGGGCAGGTGCCAGGAGGAAGTGGGTGGGGTGAAACAGTAAGCAGAGCAGGCCTGGCGCTTGACTCCTCTTGTTGGAAAAAAGGTCCTGGGTAGACCCTGAACAGCAAAGAGGTATTTCCTAAATTCCCTAGGCTAGATTTGTACCTGAAAAATGTAGTTTTTAGCAAGCCTCCTCTTGCTGTGTTTCTGGTGAGCTCACAAGTCTCTGACTGCAGTCTGGTCCTTGTCATAGGCGTGCTGGAAGAAGCAGAGTTTTACAACATCGCGTCTCTCGTGCGGCTGGTGAAGGAAAGGATACGAGACAATGAGAACAGAACTTCACAAGTAAGGTGTTCTGAACTGTTAGGGGAAACCACGTGACAGGTGTGATTTGAAAAGGATGCCTTTCCCCTGTGAACGGGAAGTCTGGGTGGAGCACTTCTGCTGGGCAGATGGTCCATGCGCAGCCAGAGTCGTTCAGAAGGAGGAAATGGAGAAGCAGAAATAACAACAGAACAACCCCGTATTATTCTGGAAGAGATTGCCATCGTCCACCATATGGCAGTGGGAGGAGTCCGGGCCACTCTAGATCCAAAGCCTGCTCTGTCTGACCTTCTGTCTCCCTCAACATGAAGCTCACACAAGGTCTCACTTCTGCCTGTTAGCTGCCTTTTATCAGGGCAGCCCCTTAACATGGGATCCTGCTCCTGAGAGCCATTTGAAAGCAGTTGTGAATCATGCTTCTGAGAGGACTGTATCAAGCCTCTCTTTTTATTGTGTCTGGATTTTGATGTTAACAGAATGTCCCACCTCACTTGACGGAAGGAGAGATGATAGGGCATACTTAGCTTGTTTTACATATTATTCATCATATGTTTGGATGGCCCCTGTCTTTAAGCCCTTAGAATTCTCTGAGTAACAGGAAAAGGTCCCTGCCCCCAAGAACATAGAAGACTAGTGGGAAAAAGAGGCCTTTCCTTTCCTGCATTTAAGAAAGAACAACTCCTAGCCAGTAAGAGTGGCCCATACCTGTAATCCCAGCACTCTGGGAGGCTGAGACAGGAAGATCCAGCCTGAGCAGTTTAGCAACTTAGCACGTCTCTGTCTCAAAAAAGGGGGAGGTGGGCTGGGGATGTAGCTCAATGCAAAGGCCCTGGGTTCAGTCCCTAGTACTGAAAGACTTCAGAGCTGCAGTAACTAAGGGCAGAGCTCTGCTCCCCTGCAGCCATCTGTCTCGTGGCACAGCTGCCTCCCACCAGGTTCTGGTGCTGGATGCTTCCTTCATTTTGTCAAAGCACAGGACTTTGTTGCCATTGAAAAGAAGGCAATAAGGACCCAAGTTTGATCCCCGGTACCAGAAAAAAAAAAGAAAAGAAGGCAATAGTTTCTCTTTAGAAGTGAAAAATAGTGCCTTGCTCTTTCATATAGCAGTGTGTATCGGCTCTGAATGGAATATGTGGTTAAAAAACTAACACCAATGATAAAAAATGAGGCCTTCTATCCATGTTAGCTTCTTGCAAAGGTAGAAAGGGGACTTATTCTATAGCCAGGCATGATGGCACACACCTGTAATCCCAGGCAGGAGGGTTGCTGCTAGTTCAAGGGCAGCCTGAACTACATAGCAAGACCCTGTCTCAAAAAACCAAAAAAGAAAGAAAGAAAGACAGACTGACTGACTTATTCTGGCTGGCTGCTAAAAGGCTCCTAGTTAAGGTTCAAAGATGAACTTGTAGATTGTGAAACATGATCTACGGTAGGGTCACCAGTCTTTGCAGTTTTATATTTCATGGCATCTTTCACTGTTATAGATGTTAAATATCTTAGATATTTTGGAAATGTTTTATCTTTAATTTTCCACTTTCTTTAAAAAAAAAAAAAAAAACTTAAAGGCCGGGAATTTAGCTCAGTGGTACCACTCCTGCCTCATAAGTGCAAGGTCATGAGTTCAGTCCCCAGTACTAAAAAATACCAAAAAAAAAACTTGATAGAGTAGTAGAAATTTTGATGCTATGTAATTTGAAACCGTTCAGATCATGGTACCTGAACATTCTCTCTTCTTTGCCATCAGCTGATTCCTTGAGAGCAATATAATATTTCCATTTGACGAAAGCAATTAAGTTAATTAGTCCCCCAGATTCTGAAGGCTTGTGGAGTTATACCCAGCTGGAAGCTTTCTGTTCTAGGAATGTTGAGACCTTTTTGATGTTCATTGATCTTTCCATCTGTCTCTTATTGTGGAACTCTGTGAAATGGATTTGATGTTCAAAGACACCCTCTTTTGCCCTTGTTCCACATGGTTCTAAGATGAAGTTGGCTGTATGTGGATTTCCAGGTACTGTCTCCTTAAGCAAAGCCCAAGATGTAGATCTTAACCCAGCTTTATTGTCATGGCCTCTTATCTCTTAGTGGTTGTCATCATACTAACTACTTTGCTGTCTCTGATTGTTTTTTAGACAGAGTCTTGCTATATATATATAGCTCATGCTGTCCTTGAACTCACTGTGTAGCCCAGGATGGCCTTGAATTCAGGGCAATCCTCCTGCCTCAGCTTCCCAAGTGCTGGGATTACGGGCATGCACAACCTCCCTCAGCCTCTAATAACCTTTTTTTTTTCTTTGGTACCAGGGATGGAACTCAGGATCTTGCACTTGCCAGGCAAGCACAGCACTACTGAGCTAAATCTCCACCCCTAAGAATCATATTCTTATAGGTGATTAATCTTAGTGCTTTTCCAAGTACTGATGGTTTACTTTGGAGGAGTAAAAAAAGAGGCATTAGGGCTGGGGATTTAGCTCAGTGGTTCCACCGCCTGCCCCTCAAGCTCAAGGACCTGAGTTTGATCCCCAGTACCTCCCCGCAAAAAAGGCATTATCATACATTTAAATACCTGGAACTTTGACAACTATGGTCAGTATCACAGATCTTTTGTGAGCTCTAAGTTGTATAATAAAAAACATCTGGTTGTTTCTAAGTTATGTGACTAGAACCAATTGAAATTTTTGGAGAATTTGTCCTATATTTTATAAGGGAGAAAATTTTTTAGTCTTACTACCTTGGTAATGATAGCTATATAGTACTCTTTTTTGTTTTTTGTTTTTACAGCACTGGGGATGGAACCCAAGCCCTCCAAGCCTCAAACACTCATGGCCTCAAAAGGCACTCTTTTTTTTTGTTTGGTACCAGGGATGGAACTCAGGACCTTGTGCTTACGAGGCAGGCAGTGGCACCACTGAGCTAAATCCCTGGCCCAAAAGGCACTCTTATTACTCAGAAAGTTTCAGGCATTTGGGAGCTCTGCCAAGAATGCAGACAAAAAACAAATACTTACTTTTTATTATAACATATTTCTGACACAGGAATGCTCCTGTTCAATACTGAAACACTTGCAGGTAGTGTCAGAGAGGGTAAAAATAACTTGAACATTATGAGATTCCAATTTAATATCTCAATATGTTGTTAATGTAATGTTCCTGTAATCACTTCTGCCAGTCTGAATAAACCAAAATGTGCTATACATTTTTAGCATATACATCACATATAAATCACTTCAGGAAAAAATGTGGCTTTCTTGTGCAAAGTAATTGAGGAAATGGATGAAATGTCTGGCTTGTCACATGGTTCCTCACATAGTGCACCCCTCTGAAGTTGAGAATTATTTTATCCACTGATCCACATTCTTGGATCTTTTTTTTTCCTTTCTTCTCTTGGATTTTTTTTTTTTTTTTTGAGACAGGATCTTGCTATGAAGTTCAGGATGACCTTAAACTTACTGTGTAGCCGAGGCTGGCCTCAACCTCAAGCTGATCCTCCTGCCTCAGCCTCCTGAGTGCTGAGATCACAGCTGTGCATCACCACACCCGCCCCCCTTGGATAATTTTTAGTGGGAAACCACAGTGCTGCTTGAGAAGGGGCCAGTGGGGGTGGTGGAGCCCCGGGGCTGCTGCACCTGTCACCTCCCTGCTGCTGCTCTTCTCAGTCTCCCTGATTGTTGCAGGGTCCTGTGAAGCATGTGTACAGAGTGCTGCAGTGTCAGGAGGAAGAGCTCACACAGATGGTCTCCACCATGTCCGACGGCTGGAAATTTGAACAGGTATGTTTCTCAAAAAGCAGAACCCGGGGCCTAGTCTCAGGATCCTAAGTCCTTGAACAGTCACCAGCCAGCCAGCTTATAGCCCTGGAAAGCGGGGAGGGGGCTGAGTTCGATCTATTTCCAAATCATGGGGAAAGAAAGCTACTCAGTGCATACTGTGTGCCCAGTAGTAGGTGGTGGGTAGGGGAGAGTGAGGAGAACCACATCTCCCAGCCTGCCATCCAGAGTCTGAACGCAGTGCCCAGGGCAGCCACCAGCTTGGCTAGGCTTGAAGAGCTTCACTTTGGTTTTCAAAAGTGTTCTGTGGACATGTTCTGCAGTGAGTCCCTGAAAAAGACTAGGATTCACCATCCAGCCTTTCATCTCACAGGGTCAGAAGGCAACAATTCTGAGTCTGCATTATCTGCTGTAACTGCCTGGTGACTAGATACACTGTGAAGATTCAATGTGAAAAGTGTGGCTTGGTCAGCTGGCATCCTCTCCATCTCAGTTCTTTTAGTTTTGTGCTTAAGCTTAAGACCAAAACAAAGCTACCCCGAGTCCCAATTTTCTTCCATTAGATGGCACAATTGTTGGCACATGGGAAGGCCGGGGGTGATAGAGGGAACCTGGTTTTATGTGGAGCATTGCATATTCTTGCATACAGTTGAAGAGGCCAACTGAGCCAGCAGGAGAAGCTCACCTTCTATGTAAAGTTATAGTTTGTGTTAATGGAGCAGCTTACAGATCGCATTCAAAGCTGCCTCGGTTCCCAGAACCAGTGCTGGATCATTCCTCACCCTTTTCTTCCACAACAGAATCGGTCCTGCCTGTGTGCCATCTGGTTCTCCTTCATATGTGGGTGGCAGAATGTGCCCAGGGTTTATTGTCCTCTATCCCAGAAGGATTCTTCCCTGATGGAGTCTTAAGCAAAGAATATTACTTGTTTTTTATTTTTTTATGAGTATTCTTTGTAAAACCAGTGGATAATTTCTTTTGTTGCTGTCTCATTTTGTTAATGTCCTATGGGAGTCCGAGGTCTGTTCTGGTTGCCTCTGATACAGATGAGAAAGTTGGGCCTGGGGGGCTGAGGGCCCCCCTCCCCAGGGAGCCAGCTGGGGTCTCCCAACCTGAGGCCTTGCATGCTTTTGAGGACAGCCTCACGCCCGGCTCAGCTTCTCCCTCTCTGCCTGTTTCCTATTTAGAATTAGTACTGACCTCAGTTCTCCAACAAGGTTCAAAGTGCCAGCAGCAGACAGCTCTTAATAGCTATCCAGTGCTTTTCTTGGTGCGCTCCAGGTCCTTCTGTGTGGCAGTCTGCTGTTTAGGAGCCCTGCTCACAGGTGCACCAGTGCTATGTTTTGGCTGGACAAGTGTCCATTTCCATGTGCAGAAACATTTTGTAGTACTCAAATGTGACAGAGGGAGAGCGATCGGACAAGTGCTTGAGCGAGAGGACAGTGGTGGGACTCAGACTTCTTAGGGAACCCTCGCTTACGATGCTCTGATGCGAAAGTGAGATCCAGCTGTCCTTCAGGACCTTGATGGTCCCCAAAAATATGAATTCCAGACAGGAGGAAGGTGTGGTTTGTGTGGCACTTGAGATTTGAAGGTTGGTACTTGTATGGTCACCATCTTTTTGTTTTGCCAGCTAATCAGCATTGGATCCTCCTATAACTATGGAAATGAGGACCAGGCTGAATTTCTCTGTGTCGTCTCCAGAGAATTAAATAATTCTACCAACGGCATTGTCATAGAGCCAAGTGAAAAGGCCAAGGTAAGAAAACTGATTTGGCTGGGTGTAGTGGCACGCATCTGTAATCCCAGTATTTGGGAAGCTGAGGCAGTAGGATCGCCGTGAGTTCAAGGCTAGCTCGGGCTACATAGTTCATGGCCAGCCTGAACTGCATCTCGAGACCCTGTCTCAGGAAAAAAAAAAAAAAGCCAAAAGAAACTGCTTTGCTGGCTTACACTCTGGTTCATTTGTGTTCAGGCCCCTGCAGCTCCACCCCAACTGCTGCCCTTCTCCCTTCCTCATCTAGCTGTGTGGTATTCCACCTTGCAAGGTTTTGAGGGTTTGTTTTTTTTGGTACCAGGGATCGAACTCAAGAAACCACTGAGCTAAATCCCTGGTCCTACCTTGTGTTTTTTAAATCAAGATTTAGGAGGGGCCGGGGATTTAGCTCAGTGGTTTCGCCACCTGCTGCTCAAGCGCAAGGACCAGAGTTCGATCCCTGGTACCAAAAAAAAAAAAAATTTAGGGAAAAATGACAGGGCTTTTTGGTTGAGAAACATGAGCATGAAAAAGGCGGTTTGTCCAGCCTCTGTTGACTTGGTTAAAAGAGCTGAGCTGAGAGTGTAGCCCAGTGGTGCAGTGCTTGTCTAGTATGTGTGAAGCCTTGAGTTCAATCTCCAATACCCCTGAACCACACACTTACCTCCTTTCCTTCCACACACACATGTGCAACATACACACTTCTGAATCACCAGGGCGTGACGCTGGTGGTCCATTTCCTTTAGCATGGGAAGACTCTCGTCCAACAGCAAACAGGTTTCTATAGCTCAGTGCCCGGTGTGGGTGAGGCTGTTTTGAAATCAGTTTTGTTGTTTTGTTTTGTTTTGTTTTCTTGAGACGGTCTCACTATGTATTACAGGCCTGCCTTGAATGCAACTCAGTACCCTAGGCTGGCCTTGAACTTATGATGATCCTCTCGATTCAGCCTCCAGAGTTCTAGGATTACAAGGATGTGCCACCATGCCTGGCTTGAAATCAATTTTTAATCATTTTTTGTGATTGATTTCTAACTCAGTTCCACGGTAATTAGATAGTATATTCTGATTTAAATATTTTTCCCAGTACTGGGAATTAAACCCAGGGCCTTTGCACTGAGCTGTATCCCCAGTCCTTTTTTTTTTTATACCGGGGATCAAACTCGGGGCCTTGTGCTTGCGCAGCAGGTAGCAAAACCACTGAGCTAAATCCCCAGCCGCCCCAGTCCTTTTCTTAACTTTCTATTTAAAGACAGTCTCCCTAAGTCACTCCCTAAGTTTCTTGTGCTGAGCTCAGACATGCAGTCCTCCTGCTTCAGCCTCCAGTAGTGCTGGGATCACAGGCATGCACCACCACTCCTGGCTTTTTTTGTGGAGAGGGGGGATCAAAACCAAGGTCTTCTGCATGCTCAGCACATGCTATACCACTGAGCTGCACCCCCATCCCCTGTCTTTCCCTCGGCGTCTGCTCAGAAGTCTCAGGCTCCTCCCTTGTCTTCCACTTTCAGATTCTTCAGGAGAGAGGATCTCGAATGTAAGCTGAGAGTCTGAAATTCCAGAGTGCTGAAGTCAGGAGAGGGATCCAGCAGAGCAGCTCTGTGAAGTCTTGCACCTGTACAGTAACTGAGCTACTGCAAAGCAAAGCTGAGCCTGGTCCCCGGTGAGGACGTGTTCTGGTCAAAACCAAAGGAACCCCACCCCTCCCCTGGGATCCCAAGGACAGATGCACCTCTGGCTGCAGACCCCCTTTTCAGAAGCCTGCTTTTGTCTTCTTAGCCAATGTTCTGACAGATTTTGATGATAGCAGCTGGGCTGGGTCCCCAGATGGAGGCTTTTGGGGACCTTGGAGAAGGGAAGGATGGCCTGGCTCCTTGAAAATGGCCTAGATGTCAAGGCAGCTGGAGAGGAAGGAGGACTGTCCTGAGCTGTGCCCTGGTCTCATGTGCGTGTGCCATCTTGGACATTGGCAGCTGCTTATGACCCCTCTATCCCTCCTGCTAGTCACCCTCCAAGGAGTGCGGAGATGCAGTCGGTTCTACCTTCCGTGTGTCAAACTGAAGTTTGGGACAGGAGAAGTCACCAGAGGACGCATACTGCTATGCACAGAGCCTCTATGAAAGGGAGGATTTCGCGACGGTGGATGGTGGTGGGCACTGCTCTCATCTTGGGCGCTGTGGTACTCCCACCCGCAGCTTTGCTGTGCACCGTGAGGCCTGCCTTGTTCCCAGGAAGGGGTTTGAGACAGGTGTGCCACATCAGACAGAGGAGTGCCATGTGATTGGTAACTGCTGTTGCAGCCTTTTCTTACCCCGTTGACCTGTTTTCCTTCCCTGGCCTTTTAACTGGACCAAAGATAAAGGACTTTGTGGACCCTCCGATGGCTTGGTGTGAGAAAGGCTGTTTCTTTGGAAGTTGCTAAATATGTGCAGTTGCCATATATAAAAGTGGTATTGTTTCTGTGATTGTCTCTTGCAGATGTCCTGAGTGAATGTACCATTTGTGTCTCTCCTTGATTTCTAACTTTAGTAAACCTGCCCCACAGCACTTCAGGTGACTGTGCACTGTCTCCAGTAGTGTGTGTGTTGACTGCAGTCGGGACCTCCATAGTCTCTTAATACCATCCCTTCCCCCTGTGACTTTTTCCTGGGAGTGTCATGTTGGCGAGGACCAAGTACTTATCTGATCAGGGTGCCTGCAGTTCTCCTCTGGGCCTTTGAGTCTCTGAGCAGTCGTGAAAGGCAGAGGGGCTGGAGCACCTTTCGTTTTTCCTGGACAATTTTCAGTAGCATGGGACATGGTAGAGACAGGGAAGGTACCTCTGGGGAACACATTGCCCAAAAACCACCTCGGGCCAGGCACTACAGGGCACTTTTAAAGCCAAGCTCTGACTGGGCTGCTCATTTTGGATCAAGGGTAGTGATTTCCAGAAGAACTGGACTCTACCAGTTACCTTTTGAGCATGTAACCTGACTGAGTCCAGGTGGCTTACCTTTTCTCCAGGACTTTCACTCTTTCCCTCTTTCTGTCTGTAGCATACATAGAACTGTGTGTCCAGGGCTCCTGCAGCACCTGCATATGGAGGCCATTGGAAATGTACATGTTGACACCTCAGAAGTCTGGGTGTGCCTGGTGTTTTTTACAGCTGTAACATGTTAGGTGAACTTCTATTTACAGGAAGGGCAGTCACTCCTCCCATAGGGTCATAGGCATCTATCCTGTCATGTCTTTCACACAAAAAGATTTGGATGTAGTCAAGAAAAAGCAGAGATAGCAGGAATTATGGCTGTGCCCAGCATAGGACAGAGGACATTGGGAGAGGGAGCTTTGGCTAAATGGAGTGTCATCGTTCTCAGAGAAGCACTTCATGTGGGGCCTTGTGCCCACTTGTGTCCTGCTTCCCAGAGCATCCCTGATGATCAGTGCTGAGCAGGGGTCCAGGCGGAGCTGATGCCCTGGCCCCAGCCTCAGCTTTAGCACCAAGCTCAGCGAGAAGGAGTAGGGGCTAGACCTTGGGCTAGTACCTCATGAATGCAGTGTTAGCTTCATTGAACTTTCCAGACCCCCACAGCTCATCAACAAAACATTGCCTTTGAACCCCAAGCCAAGTGCTCTGGGAAACAGGCATACTCTGCCTCCTAGAAGTTCCTGCTGAAGGTCCCTCTTCTCTGCAGCTCTGTGCTCCAGGAGTCAGATGGAGGTTCATTTTTCAGGTTTGTGGGAAGTAGTTTTGTTTTCCGAGTTTGTAGATTTTATTTGAATATTGATTCAAAGAAATAAACAGTAGGGAGTTTGAATAGTGACTTATACTTGGATATTAAAGTTTTTAAATTACCTTAATTATTGTAAAGCAATTATGAAAATACTTTCAGTGGCCTCAGGAGTAGAGTCAGAATTGTCCAAACACCCAGGGGCTGCAAACACAGAGGACCTCAAATGAATTTGTTCAGCAAGTTCCAAGAGCCGCACCACCCCAAAGACTATGCAGATAGTGGGGAGTACTGGAGGGAATTCCTCTTCCTGACAAAATCAACCCCTGATGCCAAATATGGACAAACCCAGAACAGCTGCCTGGTCTGTTTAGAGCAGGGCCGATGTGCATTGAAAGGGAAGGTCTTTGCTGCAAGGTACTTTACCTGAGCCCTTGTGATCCATGCCAGTGTTCTTGCTTGACAGCGTTCTCCCCTGGGGCGTCTGGCTGTCACTGCAGAGGGAGATCTGCCCTCCCTCCCGTTGGTTTAGGGGTGTAATGTGACCAGTGACCTACACTCCCTGGCCCACCAGGACTGCCATGTGGGGCGTGTCTCTGCTGCAGGTCTGGGCCACCATCCAGAGTGCTGAGCCAGCACCGCCTCTGTCTGTTCTGCAGAACCTGGTCCTTTTCCTGGGTGTGAGGTGGGGCCAGCCTCCTCTGGAGTGACTTACTTTCTGCACAATCATAATTTCATAATTGCTGTTCGGTATCAGCAAGGCGTGGGCTGGAAGCAACAGAGATGCTGCATAGGGCTGTAGGGACACCCACACCCGCCAGCATGGCCTTTGATCCAGACCTTTGGGACCGTAGCTGTCACTGGTGGGTACCCTTTGTTATTGTTCATGTGTCTGAACAAAGTCGCAAATGCTATGACTTTTTCGGGGGGGAGTCAATAAAGCTATGAAACAGATGTCTTGAGTCTTGGATCTCAAGTATATTAACCATCACTGCCACTTCCCGTTGATGATTCTCAAGCGGATCTCAGGAGATGGGCTCCCTGCCCCATCCTCCAGGGCAGCTTGCAGAGTTATCATTGTGCTGCTAAAGCTGCCTGAGGGTATTGGGCCTTCTGGCTCCCTTTCCCTTCCTGAATCTGAAAGGCCTCAGAGGATGCTGAGGAACAGAAGGTGGGGACAGATGGGCTGCCAAACTGGAAGGACAAGGGGAGGAGCATGTGCTGGTCTGGAGGAGAATGAAGTCTTCCTGGAAATGAGAAGTGACAAGCTGTCCATTTTCTCTGCAAAAAAGAGGGAAGAAAAAACACAGTAAACAACCAAAGCAAGTATTCACCACTCAGCACCAGGCAAGGGTAGAGCCTTAAGGCCTTAGGTCAGTGATGGCAAACCTTTTAGAGAACAGTGCCCAACTACAACCCCAAGCCCACTAATTATCAAAAAGTGCCAACACTGCAATTAAACCTGAATACTGAGGTTTTAGCTTAGAAAAAACAGTTATCCAATGCTTGGCTACTGAGGTGTCTTGGCTTGGGTGCCAACAGAAGGCCCTGCTTGCCCACTGCAGCATGCATGCCATAGGTTTGCCACCGCTGCCTTAGATGACACCTTCCAGCACAAGGCTGATGGCTGGGAAGATGAGATGCCCACACAGCCCGTGTCAGTCAGGATCCACTCAGGAGGCAGACACAGCACCTAGTGACCTGGGGTGGGGCAGAAGGAGGGCCGCAGGGACTGAGCCACTGCAGCTGTGGGGATTGGAGGTGCAGTTACTGCTTCCAGGGTAGGAACAATGGGAAGAGGCCAGTTTGTAAAATTGCAGCGTAGGAGGAGGACCCGCAGAGCGGGAGATGGCAGTGGGTTGGTGCTGCTGTCTGACGACTGTGGCTGCTCTGAGGACTGGAAAAGCTGTAAGGAAGGAACATTCCTACCAGAACCAGCCGTTGCTGCCACAGTACAGCAGAGCTGCAGTGGTTTCATGGTAAAGTTTTCCTCTAGCCTTGCCTTATTCTCACTCTCAGTCCTGCTGGAGCAGCTGGGAAAGGAGAAGCATCCTTTGCAGAGTCCCAGGCCCTGCAGCAGAGTATGGAGGTGGGGTTTGGGGCTGAGAGATGACAATATCAGAACCAGCTCAGCCCATCTGTAGGGAAACAGCTCATGTATGCTTGGGTCTACATATACTTGAACTTCCACACAATGAATAAGAAATAAATTTATGGGCCAGGGATTTAGCTCAGTGGTTTCGCCGCCTGCTGCACAAGCGCAAGGACCCGAGTTCGATCCCCTGTACCAAAAAAAAAAAATCAAGAAATAAATTTATGCCTCCACAGAACAAGATACAACTACCCCTTGTACAACAAAGATGATCCCACTCTCTTCAAAATGAGGCAAAAGCGGGCCAGGGATTTAGCTCAGTGGTTCCCTCTCCTGCCTCGCAAGCTCAAGGTCCCGAGTTCGAGCCCTGCTACCAAAAAAAAAAAAGACAAAATGTCCACTGTGCTCCTGTCTGCGAGCTGGTCACTACCTACTTCCAGGCTACACTGATTATACCTCCATTGGCTTGGTGCAGTGGTGGTGAACCTCTGGCACCGGTGCCACAGCCAGCAACTATTTGTTATCACTGAAAGCTCTAAAAAGTTTGCCATCACTGGGTTGGTGGATCAGACAACACCTGGTTGGTGATGGCAGTCCAGGCCACACTTGACAGTGTTTGGTTAGGTGCACCACATCCACCAGGGTCCAGTGCAAGGGGGAGCTGTTTCTCAAAGGGAGAGAACAGCGATCTGCAAAAACAAGGTTGGATCAAAAAAAAAAAAAAAAAAAACGCTGGATCTTATCCGAGCCCTGGAGTTCTCCATGGTGAGTGTGCATTTGGGGCAGCTGGGGCCTCTGGGGACAGCTTGAACTTTTGTAACAGATCACTGAAACTGCTCCATCATAAAGCTCAGGTGGCAGCCACACAGAGTTAAATTTTGAATAAGAATCATAGCCTATAAAGTCTTTCATCAGTAAGGCTGTCCCCTGCAGTGAGCTGGGACTCTATTCAGCGAGTTTAATTTCTTGATCACACAATGCAGTTAAGATGCTAAGTTTTCCTTAATTGTTTGTTTTTGTTTTGTTTTTGGTACCAGGGATCGAACTCGGGTCCTTAGCTTGTGAGGCAGGCGGCGGAACCACTGAGCTAAATCCCTGGCCCAAGATGCCAAGTTTTCTATTTTGTTTTTACTTAGAAACATTTGTACTGGGCCCGGGGATTTAGCTCAGTGATTTCAACGGCTGCTGCGAAAGCGCAAGGACCAGAGTTTGATCCCTGGTACAAAAAAAAAAAAAAAAAAATTGTGTTAAGAGCATTGTTTTCCATAAGATTATACAGTGAAAATTTAATTCAGTTTAACCAATTCTGTTTTTTGCCCTTATGTTTGTTTTTGGGGTGTTTTTTGGGGGGACCGGGGGTCAAACTTGAAACCTTGTGCTTGCAACCTTGTGCTTTCGAGGCAGGAGGCAGGCGGTGGAACCATTGAGCTAAATCCCCAGCTGCCCTTATGGTTTGTTGTTTTGTTTTTGTTTTTGTTTTTTGAGACAGGGTCTCCCTTTGTATTTCAGGCTAACTTGAATTCACTTTGTAGCCTAGGCTGGCCTTGAACTCCTGGCATCCTCCTGCCTCACCCTCTTGAGTTCTGGGATTATAAGTGTGAGCTACCACACCCAGCTAGTTTTTGCCTTTATGGGTTGTAGCTTTGTCCACATTTTTCCTTTGTGACTATTACCTCCATGTTTATTTTCCCCAAGTTAAATTTTGTACATCAAAACCTAAACCACATATTAAACCACATACTTTATTTGGTTTGTTTTGTTTTGGGGGGGGCTTGTTTGGGGTTTTTTTGGTACTGGGGATTGACAGTTTTGCTTTGTTTTGTTTTGTACCGGGGATCAAACTCAGGACCTTGTACTTGTGAACCAGGTGGCGGTGTCACAGGAAATATGAAATATTATATTGTTGCAGAAATCTCGGAAAGAAATACACAGAGACACAGAATTCGGGTAAAATAATAAAATTTCTTCTCGCGAGCAGGCGGATCACCAGAAACAGGTCTGGTTACTATCCTCGCCCTCTTTGTTCAGCGTTTCCCTTTTTATATCCTTTTTAGCCATTATCTCATCCCTAATGGTCTTTGACGTGTAAATACAATTCCAGTTCCTATCTACAAGTCACAGACACAAGATAGGCACACATACATTGTAAATTCACCCTGGCATGGTAACTTCGTTAGGTTAATGAAGTTATGGGTTAGAGTCAGATAACCGTCACTTTAAACAAGGAGTTATGGGAAAAGCAAATCTTTTTTTTTTTGGTACCGTGATCAAAAGCGGGTCCCTGGGCTTGCGCAGCAGGCGGCGAAACCACTGAGCTAAATCCCTGGCCCCGGGAAAAGCAAATCTTAAAAGAACACATTACTTATTTTGCTTCGACAACTACCTTAATGTTCAATTTATTAAGTTATCTAAAACTTTTCCGTATCAATATCTTCCATTCCAACATGTTAACTATGATACGCCGAGTTCTTGTTCTCTCGAAATCGAAGAATGAGTCCTAGGAACCACGGAGGTTGAAAGTAGGAAGACATTTATTAATAGGAAAGCTCCTAAGAGGTAGGAGGAGTCCCGAGCGGGCAGCCCAAGGACCCCACTTTACAGAGAAGTTTTATAGGGTGAAACCCACGTGGGTACAGCGTGGGCCACAGCCATGAGCATCCAATAAGGTTACAAGTACAGTCACCTAGGTAACGGTGGTCCAATTGGGAAGCGAGTCACGTAACAAGCACGGATGGAAAGAACAAGGATTCTCCTAGAAGGCAGTGGGTCCAGAGGTCTCTGGTCACCCACAGGGTGGTCGATTCCTATCTATACGTCACTAAGCCCAGTTCTTTGGAGAAGTCTATGGGTCTGGTCATCGTGTCTCCATCTTGAGGCCTGGTTTTCAAACAGTGTGCAGCTGTAGTGTGTCTCACCTGGCCCTCTCGAGGACTTAGCCCTATCTGACTGCCTATAATATTTCTACCTAGCTCATCTATCTATAATAGTGGCACTACTGAGCCAAATCCCGGCCCTTAAAGTACTTTAATAGTAAATTAAAATGTTTAGACTGATATTGGTTTTCTCTTAATTACAGCTAATAGTACAGATATTAGAAAAATATAATACAGCCATGCATGATGGCACATGGTAACTCTGGGAGGCTGAGGCTGGAGGATCACAAGTTTGAGCTCACCCTGGGCAACTCAGTGACTTAACAAGACCCTGTCTCTAAAAAATACAAAAAGGGCTAAGAATGTGACTTAGTATGAAGTGTCTAGGTTAAAACCCCACTACTGCACACACAAACACACACACACACACACACACACACACACGAGATAAAGTTTACATGGATCCCCTAAATTACTACAAGGAAATTGTGGGCAAATTCCCTTGCATATTTTTGGATTGCCTTTTGTCCAAGATTGGGGTATTGTTTCTACTTAGATTTCATTCTGATAACCTTGCCCACACTATGGTGTCTACACTTTGGCAAATCAAAAAACAAAACAGTCTTTCTCCTACCTCGCAAGCCCAAGGTCCTAAGTTTGATCCTCAGTACCATATTTGAAAAAGGAGGAGTTTCAAGGTGCCACAGAGTTCTTGACCTAGACCTGAATGTTGACCAACAGGCACAGGAAGGCCTGGATACCCTGCCACCTACCCAGCATTGCTCAGAGCAAACTTGCACTCACTTGGTGTTGAGTGTTACACATGCCCAGACCCACTAAAGTCCCAAGGCTGAGTCCCCGGGCCTGCGCAGGACCTGGGGCCAGGAGGCAACCAGGAAGCTGCCAAGGGAAGAGCAGCCAGGGAAGAGCCAAGAACTTGAGCAGAGTGAGGGAGTTGAAACACAGAAAGGAGTCTGTAAGGTTTAGGG